CATCAATTTCATATATGGAATTGATAATGTGATTTTTAGATTTTATTTTACTACAAAAATTCTTTACATATATTAATATCATCTTTATCAATCAATTCAAAGAATATAAGAATAGTATTAATTTTTATAGAAACATATTTTTGTTTTTTATAATTTCAAACTTATGTATACAAAGTAATTTATTGATTTTTATTACATTTGTGATTGATTTTTATTGTTTATTTGTAGTTCAAATGCTTGATGCAATGTATTCTAAAGACAAATGACCTTAAAATGGAAGATTAGAATAGAGTAGGTAGAGATAAAAAGTTAAGAATATTGAAGTCTTGTAAGATGGTAGCAAATATACAGCAAGTAGTTAAAGATAGTTAAAAAAAAATGCATCATAAAAAATAGCATACCATATGAAACTTGTCATCCCAAAACACTCATCAGTGACCAATAAACGAAAATTGAGTATTTAATGTGTTCATATTCTCCACATTGTAAGATTTAAAATGATGGGTCATTTTCTAGAATCGACTTACTATTACCAAAGTTATGAGTAAAAGTATTACAGCCTTCTCTGTAATAAAGTATACAATACTACCACATTATTATGCTAATTAATCAGTTTAACAATTACTCACAGTACGCTGGTTTATGGGACATGGTAAACCTCATGTGATAAGTTAATTTTTCAATTAAATATAAAGACAGGAAGATTTATGGATATTGCAACAAAATCATTGTATCAACTTGATGACTAACAGTGTGTTTGCAATGCCAATGTTGTGTTTAGAAACTGTTGACAACCAAATCAATACACAAATCAATTATCACTTTATTCAGAAAAGAAATAAAGGAATACATTTATAAAAAACCAGGTCAATGTTCATTAAAACAATGTAAAATTCTTATAAAAGACACATTACAAAACTTTTTTTTTTAAACAGGCAAATATAAGATTAAAATAATATTACTATATTTCTTATAAGAAGTGTGACACAGTCAGTTGTCATTTTATTTTAATTTTAAATACACAGTGAGAAAATTTAAGACACATGGAACATTTAACAATGGCTTTAGTGAAGTTAACATGCAATAAATTGTACACATAAAACAGGTTTGATGTGTTTTAATACTTAAGTGTATTTTCTTGAAGTACTGGGAAATACTGGAAATCAGATAAAATGCCAGTAGGAAGAAGTACCATCAACAAAGGAATAGTCTATTTGAGAATAGGAGTATTGGTTAAGACATAGATAGGCGCTATCACACACTCAGTTAATCCTCCTCATATGGTAATTATTGTTGTTCATAGGAAAGCATCAGTTATTTCTTGATTGCATTAATTAGGCCTAGTCTGTGAAAGCTCCTGTGTATTTCTTAACAAATATCCCTTTCTGAAATGCATTATTCCTTTGCTAATAATATTTTTTCCTACTATCAGTTTTTTCCTACTGGCATTATTTCCTATACCCCGCTGTTCTGCTCAAATTTAACTTGTTTGAAATACGGCTTTTGTGACATACTAATTGGTGTTCTGTAAGCTAATACCTTCAATGAAGTTTTCTCCTGTCAAAATGCTAGCCTAAATTTATTCTGAGCCCTCAATGAATGATGACTAATCAAGAGTGTGTTCTCCCCAGGCCTTTGAAGCGTTACGGTACCGTGACGCTTGGGACTTCGTCACGGTGCACCGATACGCTTCCAAGCTGGCCATGACGCTTGATGCGTCTTCCGTGACGCTTTTAAATATCGTCAATAAAATAATTCAAAATAAACATCACTGTCCATGTGTCCTAGCTTGAAGAAGAGTGAGTGTGAAAATATTTTAAACACAACAATGCTATCTTACGATGTTGGTTTATCAGCCCAAGTTCATGCTTCATCTTTTTGCGCTCATTTTGCGTTATCTTTACCTTGAGAAATGTCACTTTCATTTCAAAACACTATCGTTTGCTTGATTCACACAAACTGTTTTCTTCAAAACTGCCCATGCATGTCCATGCGCATGCCCAGAACGATTTATCTGGATTTCCTCACCACGTGTACTTCTTGATAGCGAAGCCACAACGCAATCCTGTTTGTGTTTAAACAATTAGGCAATGCTCTATGTTGAATTTTGTTGTTTTTTTGATAATAAACAATGTATTTAATATTATAATACTACTTTACAATAAAGACAAGTAAGTTCAGATAAATGTTAGTCAATCTAGGCAGCCTACATGGCCGATGTTTTTTTAGCTATAGCTAGGCCTAGGCCTGGCCTCCCTGGTCCTACTACTAAGTGGTTAGCCTACCAAATGAATAGGTAGACAAGAAAGACGTGACGGTTCACACACAAAAGTACGTAGGCCTATGCCTATTAAAATAAATATTGTACAAACAAATCTGTTTTACGAATACCAATTTCCTTGTTTTGACATGTACGTAAAATTTACGTACCATGATGCTTGACCCTTATCCTGGGGAGAACACTGTATATGTAAATTGTAAATTATTAACATACGAATGTTCCATCGATAATAAACCAAGCACAATAGACCGATTCGGTGATGGGTGTCACATGACCTCACTTGGATGTCGGATTTAAACAATGGACTGGAAAAGCAGTATTTTACATGGAGATTGCTATTCCAGCAATCCCATGTTATTTCTGTAAACTATACCAAATTGGTTTAGAATTGAACTTGAGAATTTTGCTTTAAAGGTTTGCTAATGCTCCAAAGGATACTGGCCACAAACATTGAGAGTTTTCGACAGATGTGAGGTCTAGGCCCCTGCACATCTACTCCCTGTTTAGGTATGCACCAGTGTCTTTGACCTGCGAACTACGCTACGATTTTAAGGCTAGCTAAGGTTTACGAAGGATCACGTAAATTTCAAAGCATACAATGCTAGGAGAACGATAGGATAAGTAAATAAACACTATTTTGAACAATCATATTTACTTTCCTTGCCATTTATTTCTCACGTTAACAGTGGGTGGTTGTTTCACAATGATAATATTACCTTTTCCTATACTTTCTCACTGATCCAAGGGTATCCATGGTACTGTATACCCAAGTTATGTCCCGTCACCGGCTGTAAACAGAGATCGCCGAATTTTTGTTATCTTATAATTATTAATTTCCCTCTTGCACTTCGTATAATTCCTACTCATTTTTGAATGTTTTTAAAAATTTTTATACAGTGCACAGATCATAACCGGTTTGAGAACCCCCCAGCTTACTTGAGTCTGCCATTCAGTGCAACAGATTCAGCGAGCAGGGCAAGTAATAATAATATCAATAATATAATAAGAATATAAATTTTACTAAAATTAATAATTTAATAATACCTATCACTGAACAATAGTCAACACACGTTTTCGTCTGAGCATTTACATAAATTATATTCACACACAGAATTCAAATAATTTTGATAGATTTTTTACAAGATCTATGATAAACGATACTGGCAACTGAAAGCTCATCACAGGATAAAAACAAAAATCCACAAACAACACTAAATATCATTTAAACATATTTTAAAATTTTAGTAAAATAATAATGGTCTGGTATGCACTCAATTTGAAATATTTTGTATGTACAAATTTACAATAACAATAGCATCTTTGTTTTCTTTTAACAGGAAATTAAATTATTTTACTACTTAATATTTAATTATTGTCTTTGTTAGACATTTATAAACAATTATAATATTGAATGCTAGATAAAACCAACTTAATGTACTTTTTGGGGGTGGGGGCTGATTCAATCCTGGAACAGTGTAGTGCCTGTCTCTTATACACATCTAGATGTGTATAAGAGACAGCTATAATACTATACATATAAAGAGTATACCCATTTCATGCCATATTATATTATTATATTTGTGTATATGATATACTACACGTATTCAGTGACAAGACAAACAAAAAAAAAGAACCTGTCATTGCTTGGTTTTATTCCCTCAAAATGTTATGTACTGGGTACAATTAGGAACATGAGAATTGTTGTTACATATCTACTTTTAAAACATCAAATTGGTAAAGAAACTTCCCTCAATCAAAAGGGCAATAACATACAGATACCCGCCACTCATGGATGTTGCAGTTCAAAATGGACTACCAATTCCAACTCTCTTTATTTACAAACACCTTGACATTGCGCATAATCCAAGCTTGTCTGTATATTTCTCTTCATTTCCGTTTGAAATTTTTTTGCAAATATAACACAAATATTAATATCTATAAACAAAGAAAATGAGCATATGACAAGGTATTCCTCTATAACCATAGAGATATCATAAGAATACTGTGCTAACTCAAAAAATGCATTCAATCAAAAATTTTAAACAGCACAAATTGTTTTACAGTGCACAGACTGTCTCTTATACACATCTAGATGTGTATAAGAGACAGATACTAATTGGTGTTCTGTAAGCTAATACCTTCAATATACAGAGTATCACATCCAAATACTGAGTTTATTAATGCATGCTTTACTTTATCATGAAAGCAAAATGCTTTTGAACACCCATCCATGGGTCCCCACAGTCCATGTGGCTCTTGTAATCTTCATCAAGTATATAACAGAAAATGATTAATACATTTTGCTATTATTACGGTTCTGTTAACAAGTTTCATTCATTTATTGAAAAAAACATGTTTTAGATTAACACATATGTTATAGTTTAAACATTATTTAGTTCATTTTAAATAATTTAAACATCTCAGTGAAATTATAAATGGTGGAGAAATCGTATAAATTCATAATTATATACATTTCTATTAAAAATATAATAAGGTATTTTATTTTTAGCTCAAAAGAATTATAATAGTGAATATAACTGTCAAAATGTCAGAACATGATATTATACAAAAGGATAGGAAGACTGGGATGTTTACATTTTCATAAGCTAGCATGGATTATTTTAAGCCTGCAAGAAATTAGACAAATAATTAACATCATCTATATTATGTTTGTGGTCAATTTACAGTCACATGGACTGTTTATAAAAGAAGTTTTCTCCTGTCAAAATGCTAGACTAAATTTATTCTGAGCCCTCAATGAATGATGACTAATCAAGAGAGACTACTACAGTAGATATTGTGTCAAGGGTCAAGCAAAAAAAGAAGTTAAAACAAGAATAGCCTTTTCATATGATATAAATATTTTTTATAGTTGAAATTTTCTATCATTTCATCATATTATGTTATTGTTAAATCATCATGCTTTGTTTTTAAAATTTGGTGTAAAGCGCATAGATGCACTGGGAAATATGTGCTACATATATCGGTGTTCTCCCCAGGCCCTTGAAGCGTTACGGTACCGTGACACTTGGGACTTCGTCACGGTGCACCATGACGCTTCCAAGCTGGCCGTGACGCTTGATGCGTCTTCCTTGACGCTTTTAAATATCGTCAATAAAATAATTCAAAATAATCATTGCTGTCCATGTATCCTAGTTTGAAGAAGAGTGAGTGTGAAAATATTTTAAACACAAAACAATGCTATCTTACGATGTTGGTTTATCAGCCCAAGTTCATGCTTCATCTTTTTGCGCTCATTTTGCGTTATCTTTACCTTGAGAAATGTCACTTTCATTTCAAAACACGATCGTTTGCTTGATTCACACAAACTGTTTTCTTCAAAACTGCCCATGCATGCCCAAAACGATCTATCTGGATTTCCTCACCATGTGTACTTCTTGACAGCGAAGCCACAACGCGATCGTGTTTGTGTTTAAACAATTAGGCAATGCTCTATGTTGAATTTTGTTGTTTTTTTTATAATAAACAACATATTTAATATGATAATACAGTACTACTTTACAATAAAGACAAGTAAGTTCAGATAAATGTTAGTCAATCTAGGCAGCCTACGTGGCCGATGTTTTTTTAGCTATAGCTAGGCCTAGGCCTGGCCTCCCTGGTCCTACTACTAAGTGGTTAGCCTACCAAATGAATAGGTAGACAAGAAAGATGTGACGGTTCACACACAAAAGTACATAGGCCTATGCCTATTAAAATAAATATTGTACAAACAAATCTGTTTTACGAATACCAATTTCCTTGTTTTGACATGTACGTAAAATTTACATACCATGATGCTTGACCCTCATCCTGGGGAGAACACTGTATATGTAAATTATTAACATACAAATGTTCCATCGATAATTAACCAAGCACAATAGACCGATTCGATGATGGGTGTCACATGACCTCACTTGGATGTCGGATTTAAACAATGGACTGGAAAAGCAGTGTTTTACATGGAGATTGCTATTCCAGCAATCCCATGTTATTTCTGTAAACTATACCAAATTGGTTTAGAATTGAACTTGAAAATTTTGCTTTAAAAAGTTTGCTAATGCTCCAAAGGATACTGGCCACAAACATTGAGAGTTTTCGACAGATGTGAGGTCTAGGCCCCTGCACATCTACTGCCTGTTTAGGTATGCACCAAAGTCTTTGACCCGCGAACTACGCTATGATTTTAAGGCTAGCTAATGTTTACGAAGGATCACGTAAATTTCAAAGCATACAATGCTAGGAGAACGATAGGATAACTTTCCTTGCCATTTATTTCTCACGTTAACAGTGGGTGGTTGTTTCACAATGATATTACCTTTTCCTATACTTTCTCACTGATCCATGAGGTATCCATGGCACTGTATACCTAAGTTATGTCACGTCACCGGCTGAAAACAGAGATCGCCGAATTTTTGTTATCTTATAATTATAAATTTCCCTCTTGCATTTTGTATAATTCCTACTCATTTTTGAATGTTTTTTAAAAATTTTTATACAGTGCACAGATCATAACCGGTTTGAGAGCCCCCCAGCTTACTTGAGTCTGCCATTCAGTGCAACAGATTCAGCGAGCAGGGCTAACATCAACAACAGTAACTATCCAAGAAATGTCAAAGAGTCATTCCACATAACTACAACAATATGCTCAACAAAGCTGACGCAGAATGGTGAGCTTCTTTGATAAAAAATTGTTTTATGCCCATATATAGCCATGATGCACCTATATATGGTTATGGTGTGATGCTATTTCTGATGATGACATAATTAATGTCGAATTTTGAATCCCGACACGATGGCGTGCATTTTGATGCTTGGAGTATGTATTATACTATCTTATCTGAGATTAATCAGTGGACCTTTCGGACTTATGTGATGCTATCATAACCATATTTAGTTGTGTTGCATTTTTTTTGTCAAATATGTAAACTTTCTCTCTGTCAACTCAAAGAAACACACTTCATGTTTGTATTTTTATATGATGGTGAATAAATGGATCTTGAATTTTGAAATGTTGAGGGCGATATATTATATGATGTGATGTTGATGATGCTTTTGATGAAGATGGTGAATATTAAACTGTTAAGCCTGGCATGAATCAAAGGCCTAATGATATTCTGCAAGAACATTAGACTGAAATTATGTTCGCCATTTTAACATTAATTTTACCGATGTTGTGGTGTAGTAATCATGAGATTCATTTTGCAGAAAAAATAAATAAATTTTCTGTATGTACTTAAATGTTCCTTTTGTGCACCTTAGTCTAAAATTGTCAAAATGACAGTTTAATGTTTAATAAGAACATGAATTTTTATAAAAATCGTAAATATTCAGTTTCTATAACTTTTCATTTTGATGGTCAATTTTTACAAATCAAATTGTAGTTTATAGATGGCTCGTGGTCAAAAGAAGTAGATGTAACGGATATTTTCAAAGTACCCAAAATTAGTAAAATAGTAACTAACACCATAAAACGTATAGTCCTCATAAACTAATACTTGACGGCTATACTCGCAACTAGTATCAAATTGTCGATGCCACAGTAAAGATCAAAGGACTACACGCACACCTGTCTCTTATACACATCTAGATGTGTATAAGAGACAGATATTATACAAAAGGATAGGAAGACTGGGATGTTTACATTTTCATAAGCTAGCATGGATTATTTTAAGCCTGCAAGAAATTAGACAAATAATTAACATCATCTATATTATGTTTGTGGTCAATTTACAGTCACATGGACTGTTTATAAAAGAAGTTTTCTCCTGTCAAAATGCTAGACTAAATTTATTCTGAGCCCTCAATGAATGATGACTAATCAAGAGAGACTACTACAGTAGATATTGTGTCAAGGGTCAAGCAAAAAAAGAAGTTAAAACAAGAATAGCCTTTTCATATGATATAAATATTTTTTATAGTTGAAATTTTCTATCATTTCATCATATTATGTTATTGTTAAATCATCATGCTTTGTTTTTAAAATTTGGTGTAAAGCGCATAGATGCACTGGGAAATATGTGCTACATATATCGGTGTTCTCCCCAGGCCCTTGAAGCGTTACGGTACCGTGACACTTGGGACTTCGTCACGGTGCACCATGACGCTTCCAAGCTGGCCGTGACGCTTGATGCGTCTTCCTTGACGCTTTTAAATATCGTCAATAAAAATTTTCTAATTTCAATTATGTTAGCAAATTAGATAATTTAAATGTTATTGCTAGTTGAATTAATAAAAATTAAAAATAATATTGATATAAGTCGTCAAAATATTATTAACTTAACACGTATTTAAATTTTGTATATTTTTTATTTTTAACAACAGATTTTACAAGACGTTCTTGATACTCTTTTCTCTATATTGGATGAGAGTCCAGAAAAATATGCTGAACTGGTCTTCAAAGGACTTGTAAGTATTCATAACAATACAAAGAATAATATTCTATTCAGTGTTATTCTATTAAGCAGTTAGTAGAGTTGCATATCACACACTAGTGGAAATTTATTATACAAAGCATAGAATAATGCTTGAAAAAAAAATTCATTTTTCAATTACCATTTGTCGACAAACGATGATTGAGGAAGTGCCTACCCTCCCCTTCTGCAGGCCCGTTGCAGTGCACGATACATACTCTGCAAGTTGTTTTCACCTTTTGCACACGAACTGAAAAAAACGATCAAATTAGTGCTTGGTTGGGAATAGGAAAATAACATTGGGAGTTACAGTGATGATGTCAGGATTGACTTTTAGTCCTCAGTTATTTCTATAGTGCATTTTATTGCTGATAATGATATAAAAATGGTAGACTTATATAGTGTATAATGTTAAGGTATCTGTGCACTTCACATAATTATTGTTATCCAGCTCAGTGAATTAAACACAAATAGAACACAAAATCAGCTCTGTGGGAAAGTATTCCATAACGTTACAGCAGCTAATCAGTGTGTTTGGCAATTGTAATTTGCGCTATATTAGTTATTATTATTATTATTATTATTATTATTACCTTTTGTTTAGATCTACATAATTGGAATGCTACGTGACAGCCGATACAAGTCGTTTACGACAGTTCTTGATACTTACGTTGACAGACATTTTTCTGGCGCCTTGGCCCACAGGTAAAATTAGAACAAGTTGTAAACTGCGATGCACAGTTTTCTATATGAATAATATTATTGCATTATGAAAACATCAAGTACTTGATATCTGATGTTTAAAAATGTTTAGGTAGAATTAACAGAGGATTCGCGTTGTCCTAACTTGGGTGTTGGATGTAAACAATGGACTGGCACAGCGGAGATTGCTATGGCAGCTGTCCCATGTTATTGCTGTAAAGATCATCATAATTGCTGTATTTGTTCTTTTGAACGTAATTTAAGTTACTCTAAGTCAATTGTTGATGTCCCGAAATTCACCACACAAACTTTGTGTGACTTGTCGTCTAAGGGAATTTGAGATTTTTCGGCAAATGTCAGGCCTAGGCCCCTGCATATCTACGGCGTGTTTAGGTATGCATGAGAGTCTTCGACCTGCAGACTAAGCTATGATTACTAGGCTACCTAAGGTTTACAAAGGATCACATAATTTTCAAAGCCTACAATGCTAGAATAAGTAAATAAGCACTATTTTGAACAATTATATTGCCTTTCCTAGCCATTTACTTCTCACGTTAACAGTGGGTGGTTGTTTTTGAAACCATAACATTACCTTTTCTTATACTTTCACACTGATCGCACTGTAATGTTTTCCATGGTACACCCGCCGTAGGTCACGTTTCCGGCTGTGAACAAACATTGCCGAATCCCTCTTCTGGAGTTACTATATTTGTATTTGATGTTATTTATTTAATATTTAAGTATTCTATATTCTGTAACATATTTGTAAATTATATATATTTTGTTTTATATACAGTATATATATTTACATGTATATATAAATAAAAATTTTGTTTGTGTTATGCCGTAGGTATCTGCTTGGCTATCTTCAAAGCGTTACCGAGAACCAGCGACCAGACCAAGACATTGCCTCCAGCGCATTTAGTTCCTTCCATTTTCTGTTCAAGTTCTGCATTAGATCAAGAATATTATATGAACAGTAAGGAAACAAATTGTTTTCCCTTTAAAGAGAAAAAATATTCAATTAGTGATAAGCATCATCATCATCATCTTTAAAAGTTTTTTTTCCCGCATGCAAGGGTTGGACTGTAGGGAGGCTGTGTAGTTAGCCGTAAGGTGGCTGTATCTTGTGAGACTAGGTGGTACGATCTGCGGCAACTTCTCGGTTGAGGTTTAACCTGCGAAGGTCACCTCTCACAGGATCCTGCCATGACTTGAGTGGACGACCTCGTTGAAGAGGTCTGTCAACATCAAATTCTGTGATATACCTTCACCATTTGTCAACCTCACTGCGCTAGAGATGGCCGTACCAATGAAAGCGACTGTGGCATAGTGTATCTGCAATGGAGTGAATATTTAACCGCTAGAGAAGTGTTTTTATCGAGGTTCTGTCACAGATTCTGGTTTCGCAGATCCAACGAATCATTGCACAATTGGCTCGCCATAAGCGTTTTAAGTCATCTTTTTTTAAAGTCCAGGTTTCGCTGGCGTAGGTAACAATGCTGCGGACGCATGCATTATACATGCGGCCCTGGTAGAAAACTTTATGGCCTTCCATGCAGATGTTATACGCTTGGTTAGTGCATCGGCACAACCACCAGACTGACCAATGACAAACATATAGCAATAAATGTTAGTTTTTAGTATTGGAAGAAATAAATCTTTTTTTGCTTACTAACATTTTCATTAACTTTTACTATTTCTTTAGAGCAACCGGCAGTAAAGGAGATGGGCGTTTTAAAACGGATGTGAGATCTTTGTTCAGCTCCATTAAAGATTTCATGAAACGTGACGAAGAATATGTGCGAAAGGCTCAGGTATAAAAAGTTCATTATAATCATTATCATTTCACTTTTATTCCTACAAACGTCAATATAATAAAAAGCGGTTGCAAGTCTTGGCCCAAAGGCCATATCGAAAGCGAGCCTTACAATTTCTTGGTCATTGCCCTAAATTACCTATGGACCATATATTCAGCTTATTGGAGGAGTATTCCATAGCTTCAGCAGATACCCATTCCTTGGTAGAGGTGAACTTAATTTTGAACCAGCTTCAGAGTCATACTTTCGGTATTTTTTATTGTAAACCCAAAGTTGCTTATAGTGGCATTGCCAGCGTGCAGGTCCTGTATTGACGAATCCTCAACTGCCATCTGAAAAAAATCATTTCATGCCATTTTTGTGCGATTTTTAAAATTTTCTCATCTCACCCCCCCAACAATGGTGGAGCTGAGTTTGGTGTGGTCCTCTCGTCAAGCTGCCACTAATTCCTCCACATACTGATAATAATAATATAGAAATTTATACCGCACCTGGCGATGTTGTTATTAACCCTGGTCATCGGATCAATCATCAAACCAGCACAAAATGCAACCTCCTCCACTCCCTGGCTAGCATTGTTAGTTGTGCATGCAATTTAATGCTGATACAGATTAGTACTTGCAAATTTAATCAAATTCGATATTTATGTTTACGTCCATTCTTAATAGTCAACATTAATGGAGAATTGTTACGTTGTGTTCATCGAATTGTTGAAGCTCCTAAGCCCCCTTGATGTCAGCACATTGATGATGGAAACGATCTGTTCGGTCCCCCAGTCCAGTGGCTTGACAGCGGGAAAACTTAATTGCCTAAGTCAAGCGATTAAAGGAAAATTATTTGTGGACAACAGTAAGTAGACTGTTGTTTTCGGACGATTTGTTCAAATTACTTTACTATATACTTATTTCGCTTTGCATTGCAATGAATTTATGATAAATGGAATAAATTGTTATTTAAATGGTCTGAACTAAAGCCCTGTTTAGATTATTGATTTTCTTTGACAAAAACTGTGGTATGCCCATATATAGTCATGATGTGCCTATATATGGCCATGATGTGATGTCATCATGACCATATTTAGGGATGTCACATGTTTTGTCAAATCAATTTGATAGTCTGGACAAGGCCGGGAAAGTGATAGAGTGGGGATGGGTGGATTTTTGTTGCGTATTTCTCGTTGTCTTGTTTTTTTCACTGATTTAATTTGTTTATATTCTATAAAAGTAGAAATAATGAAGTAGATATATAAATGAATAACTGATGCATCAAAATCTAATAATTATTTGTTTGTTTGTTTTATTGGTTTTCTCACAAACAACATAAACATAAAGTGAATGCAAACTTAACTAACATTACAAAAGTAAAAAAAAAAAATCATATATACTGTAAATTAGAAATCAAATATTTGATTAAAAATGTAGTAAAAAGTTAAGAACTCACCATGTATGTAATTAGCCTCTGTAAAGATTTAAAAAAAAAAAATTAAACATATGGTCTCAAAAAAATGTTGTTTATATAGTTGTCATGGTAATGTGATCGTTCTTTATCGCAGGTTCTAGGTCTTATATACTCCCTCTTAGTCTTCGTATTTTAAGTGAGCTCATTTACAGACGGCAAGAACTTAGGATTTGTCTGACAATTATCGGCGATATTCTTGTGTCTTACAAAGATATGACATTGGTGAGTAGTACAGTATCAAATCTGTTGGTTTTCAGGATAAGTAAGCCTTGGTTTATTTAGCTGGAGGACTTTGGGTCATAGGAAGATATGGCAATGTATTTTGTGGGTCCTTCAGGTAAAAAACACCGGTTCGCCATACGCCGAGCTACTACGAGTGGTCTATGCATCTGAGTGCCTGTGCAGCTAAACCTTCACAATAGTACAATATCAAATCTGTTGGTTTTAGGATAAATATTTCTTGTCTTATGTATAATTAATCTAAATATTAATATGTAATTTGTATGGTTAGTCCATTGTAGTTTATAAAGGGAGTGTTTAACTATCATACTAGATACAATTAAATTTTAGTACAAAAGTACAAAAATTGAACAAAAATATTGACAAGATGTTTCTTTCTGATCCAAAATAATTTGCCTATCCAAATAACGTTCCTGCTAAGGTGAGGCCTTTTTAATACCTTGTTTTGCGAACCTATTTTTGAAATTATTTTTTTTTAACGATCATCAGAGGAAGGCAGAAAAAATATAGAATTCTGTTTTCTTATTAAGCAAATATTTTTGCCAAAAACATCTAGACTGAGGAGAAAATAGTAATAAAATGTTATTGGTGAATGTAATGGGATTGTTAAATGCTTTATATTTATATAATTAGGAAGAAATATACATATCTTGTTTTGGAGATTTCAAGACGGAAGCGAGCATAATAAAAATATAGAAATTTTTTTTTTATTTTCCATTTTTTCGTGGTGGTGAGTACGCTAATTGATCAAAAATAAAATTGTATTTTTATTCAAAATCATCATTTTGGCGGGCGGCGAGTTTGCTAAACACAGTTTAAAAAATGTCTTGCCTAATAAATTCTTTTCGTCCATATTGTGAATACTTACTTGGATAAACCAATTTTCACTCTTTATTACTAATGATTTCATAATTTACTTTTTATTATAGACGGATAGAGAGAGTAACGAAATACATCTTATAGTGAAAGATTTATTGAATATATTACTAATGACGTTATTAGATATTCAAAAGGACCAAACAGGAGCAGCTCCGGGATTGGCCAACCTTATTGTAAGTAGTTCACTCAACATGTTCACTGTCGGTCAGTACGACCTAGTTCCTTCGCATTTCCTTATCAAGTTTGAAACAGCACCATCTAGTAAAAACATTCCTGAATAACATTTAACATAATTTAACAAAAATCTCAAATTTATTTTACTATGTCATCATAAATTATTCCATTTCATCTTCAGTCCTCATAAAAAATGTAAAAAAAATATAAACTGTCTAATAATGTATTTGGTTGTTGAACTTATAAAGTTTCAAAATGCACTCAAGTAAAAATATTCTTTAGTTGCACTTGACAAAGTTTAACAAGCATCTGAAATTTATTTTACTATGTCGGTATCTTTTTAATTATTGCATTTTATCTTCTAACCACATCAAAAATGTAAAATTTCTTATAATACAATTTGCTATTGAAGAGCTAAGATAAAATTTGACAGTGCAAATGGGACCCATTTATATTTTTTATCTATATTGTAGTGCTTGATTTTATTGTACAGTATTTATATAAGGTATGTTGCAGTTTGTAACTTACATTTGGAGGTTTCAATTTTTTGTCTGAAAAATATATAAATAAAAATATAGCATTTTTAACAGTTAAATCCAGAACTTACATTTGGAGGTTTTTATTTTCTGTCTGAAAAATATATATATATATATAAAAATATAGCATATATTTTTAACATTTCAATCCAGTAAGGTCTTTTATACTTATTATTAGCCTCACCCCTCCGAAGGATAGGGGAAGGCATTGTAATAGCGTGTGTATGTGAGTGTTGTGCTGTCTGTGCGTTTGAACGAGTCATTTGGCTAGGCCGAGCTGATATGACATGGATCGACCGTGTGTCAAACTTTGGCTGGCGGACTGGAAATGGTCCAGCTGGCGTGTAAACTCGCCCGATTTATGGGTTTGCCACGTGAGGCCTATGATTCTAGGCCTTGTTTGGTGGATGGAGCGGATCAAACAATTGACTATATACTTGTTATCTTGTTTGTTTGTCTACTGATGTTACCCAAAGTGATCGGTTTATTTTGCCTGCAGGATCAATGCATTGTTTGCATCATTGGAATTTTGAAATTGATGAAGGAGGAGCACTATGAAAGACTTATATCAACCGTCGGCAAGAATTTGGACACCTTACGAAGCTTCCTACTCCGTCTGTTCTGTGTATTTGAGAGCCTTGTTACAATGGAATCTTTTCCAAATGATTGGATGGTAATGAAAATGGCGATGAACATGTAAGTTTTATTAGAACCTTAATGGTCTATTAATATTTATCTTAATGCTTTTATGTTTTAAGTTATTTCATAGTTTTTAACTATTGTTACAGAGTATGCATTTTTTACAAAAATTAAAACTGTACATTATAAATTGTAAATTATAAATTAACCCTTTCCAGTCTGCCCCATTACCATTGCCTGAGGCTGTACCAAAGCTGAGAAATTACCTCATCTACACTAAATGTCGGGTTTTTACTGGGCGCAGGCATTCTATTTGGTCTGAATGTAGGAGGCCCTCTACAGAAATACTCCTACATCACTCTCAAACAATCCTATTAAGTCAGCCTAGCTATAAAAAAATTAACATGAAATCTATACAGGGCTTACGTACAAAGCCCCTCGCTATAAAGTATGGTCAAAGAGGGCGTCATCGCGTCATATTCTTATATAAAGTGTACTTATAAATTATTATACTGTACTTATACATTATTATTATTATAAGTTTTTTCATTTTTAATGACAATCTTATATTTGTTTATGGTCAAAACTATGAGCTTGTCTGTAAATTTGTACCTTTTCATGTATTACACTCCAATTTATTATTTTTTGTGTAATTTAATATTTATTTGACCGTCTTGAAAAAAATTACATTTTCAGGAAACAGGAAAGGCACTTGATGTATCTGCACAAAATATGATTCATAATGATATAAATTTTTTATTCTCTTTAGAATATATATTCATTTCTTTTTCATTTTATAGTAATACACTCTTTTAATTTATTTTATATAGAGTCATCTTGTCAGCCACACAGTACTTCTCACAGCCTCTACACACCTACCTCATGGACCCCATCCAAAGTGTAAGAATATCATTATTTTCAAGTAACCTATTTAGTTTGACTTAATAGTGAAGCCTTTCATTGGATAAACTAATGCTGCCTTCTAGTTGGTTGTAAAATGCCTTAGAACAGCTTAAATGGCCCAAAGTTTCTTACTTCCTTTGGGCATTAGAGGTTTTAGTCGTCTTGTCTCCAGCAGGGCCTTGTTCCTAGACCCTGCTGTCCTGCACTGGAAGTTGCCGGACAGCCTCAATCCCACTTGTACAAGTCTCCATCCAATTAAAAACCACCTCCAATTAAAGACCAATTTTCTGTGGTCCCAAATTAACAAATTTCTTTCATCATTATTATTCTAATTAGAGACCAAAGCTGCTAAAGACCATGAAAACTCCGGTCCCAAAAGTGGTCTTTAATTGGAGTGAGACCATGATAGAGCCACTACTGGTTTTATTTTATACCTGCATAAGGTTTTGAAGAAATGTTATAAATTTGTACCATTAATATTATCAAAAGAATTACTGCATACAACCTCCTCCCTTGTGGCGTTTAACATGGTAACAAGTGGCAGCGCCAGAGATTCCTGGACAGAGGGTCCAAGGTCCTTGACAGGGGTTTCATGATCTCTATCACAGGAGGGCTGAGATTAATATTGACATGGGTCCACATCCACCGTAACCCAACCGGCATAAGCAAATTTTTAAAATAAATGAGAATGGTATTCTCAGACAAATGCTCTTTCAGAGAAGTGTTCCTATACAATGAAATGATAGGTGTCTTTCCTGACAAGGGTCTAATGTTACCTGATAGGGTCCAAGACCCACATGGGTGGTAGCCTCAAATGTTAAATTTAGTTTTGGTAAATATATGCTTATGTTTGTTTTCAGGATCCTCCAGGACCTGAATCCAACATCTACGACTTGACAACCGATGATGAGAGGAGCCTAGGTAGAGTGTCATCACAGGTAGGTGTTTCTCCACATTATTTTCAAATGTAAGTTACAGAGTTGAAGCCAGTTGTACACTAAAGCAAATTTATTCATGCAAATCGGTTGTGCATTTGTTTGTTTCGCAAAAAGTAGAAACAGTTCAAACTACTGATTTCGCTAAAGCAAAAATCTCCCGATAGAAATGTGAATGTGCCTGGGCATGAACCAACGCTTTTGATTCGCACAAATAAATTTGCTTAGTGTAAAACTGGTGTAAGGTATTTGATTTCCAATTGTGAGGTTGCGAGTTCAAAAATGATGCTCGTCAAATGCTTGCATCATGGGGCAAGACACCTTGTTTGTTTGTTTTATTGTGGTCCTGATACTGCATCTAGCTACCATTTTATGAGTTTTTAAATGTTCATCAAAATCTTATTTCCCCATATTGCATTCATTCATACTAACATTAGGAAGCTTCATTGCAGTAGTAAATTCGCGTGTTAGGGACAATCCGTAAGCCTTGTCTTATATGTGACTATATACAGTATTGTATATGAATAAATAATAATCCAAAGGAATTAGTACTCTTAAGAATGAAATATAAAACAAAAATATTCTACCCATGACCTGACTCTAATATAACAGTTACAGTTGTGGCTGAGAAGGGGCGCCGCTAATTATATCCTTAATGTCGGCGCTGGTTCAAGTCGCTGCTCGCCCAGGCTTTGGTTGGTAGAACCAAGTGTTCTCGGGTAAGGACGAAAATGGTCCAGTGTACACATCTGGTTTGTGTGCACTTTAAAGAACCCATTGTGTCTTTCCGAAGAGTAGGGGGTTACTCCGATGCTATGGTGCATTTCTGCCCCTGAACATGAGACTACAATAAGCACCTCTTTATAGCAGCTAGGTAGTCATGGACCACGCTCATATGTAAATCAGCTTGTTCTACCTTTACCTTTGAGCTCACACTATCAAATTTTCTTTGACAAAAAACTGTTGTATGTCCATATTTAGTCATGATATGCCTTTATATGGTCATGATGTGCCCATATATGGTCATGATCATGACCATTTTTAAGCATTTCGCATGTTATTGATAGTGTAGAGAGAGCTTTATAAACCACTGTCCTAGCAAAGGTCTGATTTTTTGTATGTTTTGATTAATATATCATCAGAGTTTCAAAGTGTGGCAACGTTTCTTCAAATTCGCATCATGTTTCTTGACTCAACCTTGTCTTCAGTTGGAGACCTTTTCTCCTGGGAAACGCAATAAAATTAAGGAGAAGTATGGAGACATACGGGAGCCAATGGCATCTCAAGTTGTCGCTATGTGGGACAAATTAGGTAGGTTTGTATTTTATGAAGTACCCTATGTTATGAAAGTGATTGTGATAATTAAGGTAGTGAAGTAAATAATGATGACAGTGAATTGATTTGATTTGATATTTGGTTATGACTGTTGAAAATAATTATATAAAAATAATGACAATGACAATGATAAAGTAAATGATTATTACTACGTTGAAAAAATGAAATGGTAGTCAGGTTGGTAGTCTTGTTATAATTATGGTGGTCAGACATATAGTGGTGATGGTCAGGTGGTAATGATGGTGTTGGTGCTGATGCTGGTAGCATGGAAATGTTGGTCATGGTAGTGGCGATGGTAGTCAGGCTGATAATGTTGATGGTGATGGTTGTCAGGCTGGTAGCATGGTGATCAGACTGGTTTCATGATGATGGTGGCCAGGCTGGTAGTGGTGGTAGAGGTCAGTTGGTAGTGGTGATGGTGATCATACTGATAGTTTTGATGGTGATGGTTGCTGGTGGCATGGTAATGGTGGTCAGACTGGTTTCATGGTGATGGTGGACAGGCTGGTAGTGGTGATAGAATTTACTTGGTAGTGGTGATGGAGGTCAGTTGGTAGTGGTGATAGTGATAGTTTTGATGATTAAATAGGTAGTGTTGGTGCTGTGGGTAGTCCAGACTGGTGGTCAGGGTGGTGGTGGTATAAGCATCTGTTGGTGATAGTGATAAGAGTGATGATGGTGATAATCGAATGATAGCTCACGCAATACACAAATGAGGCATGTCGTGGCAAAATGGTTAAGTTGTCGCACAGGCCAGTATTGAGTAAATGAGCTATAAAATAAGGGAGCCTAAAAATCAACATTTTTTTTTCATTATAGATCAACAGTTGAATGTCTTATTAATCATGTACCGAAGTATTAGTTCTGGAAATGGTCAAGAAATTGTTTATTTAATGTTATTTTGATAGTTCATTCTATTAAACAATGTATGAACAAATAACTTTGAAAGGCAATTACTCAAAATCATGTTTATCTTGACTCTAAGGGTACTGTACTTTCACTTTCCAATAACTTAGGCCTGAAATGTCCAATTTCAACGAATGACCCCTCATTTTAAAGATCACATACTTAGGTATGTGAAAATACCAATAACTTGAATTTCAATTTTTGCTACAACTTAGCCATTTTGCCACAACATGCCTCAAATCACTTATGATGATAGTGATAAGTGATGTAAATATTCAATCATATAAGCTGATGTATACAATATCACCAAAATATAAAATCTTTCTGTTCAATGTATTTGTTGTTGATATTACTTAAAGGTCCATCAAAATCTTTGTTCAAGTCCGAAATCAGTTTGTTTCTGGGTGTGACGTTGGTCCCAGGTACTGGCCTACGAAAAGCCGTCTTACCAATGATCTCCGACATCATTGACTGTGAATTTGAATCAGAAGGCAGCTTTAGTCAGGTAAAGACAATGTATTTTTTTTTCAATACAACTGATCATTGTGAAGCAGTAGCAATAGGCTTGCGTGGGATTTTGTGGTAGCAACGGTAAGGCGTAGCGGTTGCATTCCTGTTTCTTATTTTGAGGTTGGAGGTTCAATCCATTGCTGTGCATTTTACTTGTGTCCTTAGGCAAGGTACTTTATCCATGGTTGACTTTCTCCACCAAGGAGTACAAGTGGGTACCTATTGGGTTCAGTCGCAAAATGCTCTGAGAGGGAGCTAAGTACATGTTCCATATGTGCTTGATCCAATGATCACAAGTAATAATGTGAAGCATTTTTAGGCCTTATTGGCATAAAGCAGTCTAACATATTATTATTATTGTTTTTATTTAGGGCCTGGATGTGAGAAAACAGTGTCCTCCTTCTAATCTGAAAGTCCTAGGTTCAAATGCTTTTGGATTTCTCCTTATGACCAAGACCAACTTTACTCTTTGAGTCTTATAATAAGATCTAGGTTACGTAGACCCTTATGTTTTTCTTGTGGACGGAGTTGTTACTTTACTACCTATGATAGTGAAATTGTTCCTACTGATATTCCTAAATGGCCTAGATAAATATATAATACAAACAATATTCTAGGTGTATTTACTAACAGTGGTGGCTCATGATATTTGCCAACATGGATTCTAACAAGTCAGACAGGAGGTCAAAACTAAGGGGTCACCTAAAGCTTTCGTCAGGCTCCCTGAATGTCATCCTGGTGGGGTTCATGTGGAGAGATGCTTTGGTCTAGGATGGCCCAAATTGTGCTCTTAGACCAAATATTATGGATTTGAAATCACAGAATTTAATTTGCATTGTAAAATGAATGGGTGTTGGATGATCCATGGGGGAGGGGGTCCATGCTTGTCCTGCAGCGGATGAAGACATTCTCCCCTCCCAAAACTTCTGCTGTTTCTGCCACTATTTACAGTAAGGAACAACTTGGAAATATATCATTAAAAATGTAGTGCAAAGTGTATGTTTCTGAGGAATGTTATCTTTCTTTTTTTCTTGTTGAAATTAATTCATAATAAAGAATGAAAGTGGAGTTATAAATCCACGTCTCAGGAAGTAATGAATTACCATCATTTGCTGTGTAGTCTTAAAGTTTTACTTTCATTTTCTAAGTATGCATTACCTAAAGGAATAATAAACAATTAGTGTGGGAAAATGTTAATATAAAAAAAGAATAAATTAATGCAGATACTCTCCACTGTGCCAGAATACTGAACAATATTCAGGCCATGTATGATGGGTGATTCAATTATCTTCAGTCCTATACCTGAGTAACGAACAATACACAGGGTGTATATAATGGGCCATTCCATTTTTTTCTTTTTTGCTCCAAGGGGAAACAAAAACCGATCTTCCATGACCTTGTCCATTTTTTTCTTGTCTTCCCAAAATTTAATCATCTTTTTCATTGAATATTATGTACCATTCTACTAAATTTAACCTTCTTTTGGTGGAGGTAATAATAAGAAAATAATATAATATACCAAAATTAAATTGATTATAACTGATTTACTAGGTTTAGTAAAGATGTATTGTCCCAAGCAGAATGTGAAAAGATCATAAAATCAGTTTTGAAATTAACTTTATCATTTTGAAGTAATCAAAATTATCAACTTGAACTTAGAAATGAGTGTAATTAAAAAATGTTTACCTATAATTTTACAAAATGATTGAAACACAGTTACTGGAAGTATTTTATTTATTTTTTTAATAATTATCAAGTATAAAAATCAGAGTACATATTTTTTTTTAATTCAATGAATCATACACTCAAGTTTATAATTTGTGTCACTGCAAATTGAGCAAGTTAATTTCAAAATTATTGTTTATGATTTTTTTGTCATTTTCAGATGACAATACTCCTTTAAATTTTATATAAAATTAGTTGTAATTTTTAATCAATATTAATTGGTTGTATTTTAAATGATGTCATATTTATTAAAAATGAGTCATATTTTATTTTGCATTTTAAATTACTAGTTGTCACTGTACAACAATTAGGCTCCATTTGGGATGCAATACAAATACAATTTCCTTTTATTGTATTGCTTGTTGGAGATTGTTTCCTCCAGGGAAATATGTTTAAAGCATGGGATGGCATAGACGGTTTATATGGATGAGATATGCAAGCATACGCTGAATCGCCTTCCTGTTATATAACTCAGTATGGGCATCGGAATGGAAAGCAATTAGCTGCATTTGTCGGCCATTGTGAACGATGAATTGCCTTCTGATACCCTAAAATGTGAAAGTTATAAAGTATCTAAACCTTTGACCTTTCAGTTGGAGGACAATTTATCTGATAAACTCGACCAGTTAGTCGTTCAGGAGAAGAAAGGCGACAAGCATTACAGGGACCTGTTTGAGTCTGTGTAAGCATTACATTTTTATATTTGTTTCATTATTTTAACTAAGTTAATTATTTTGTCTGCTAATGTATATGAAGATTTGTGACAGTAATTTTGAGCAATTCTGTTGGATATTCATCTGACATTCTTGTATCATGTAATATATATATATACATATATATATCAGAGTGTATCATTATTTATAAATAATATATTGTACCTCAATACAAAAGGCAAAAGTAGGTTTAGGCATTGGGTAGTAGCAACGTAGGAAGTTATAATTTCACCCCAGGTACAATCCTTTTAAACAACATTTATGTGTTATTATTATTATTATCATTATTTATTTTTAAATTGTGTTAATTGTTGTAACGTTGCCTTTAATGACTTAATTAATTTGATTTGGATTAAAAAAAAAAGAAATGAAAAGCAGCATTGGCGGATTTCCGGCCCCCACCCCCTAATTTTTTCAGAATTGGAGGAAAAAGAAAATTAAGAAATTACACTCAAATTTTAAGTCTGAGAGTGTCATATTCCGGCCTTCTGGAGGTTAGATAATCATATGTTTTCTTACCTCAGCCCCAACCATGGTGGGCCTGAGGTGGGATAGACCCTTCATCTGTCAAAGTTCCTCCCATTTGCCCTCTCCATTTTAAATATCTGGATCTATCACTGAGTATTCTATATGTACAGTATTTGTATACAACTTGTTTTATTATTTCACAGCTCTCTACATTGTTCCCAATCCAAAAGTGTAAGTTCATCTATCTCTAACTGATGATGTCATCTAAGTTAGATGTCTTAAATCCTACGTAACCTCCTTCCTTAAGTTCAATATCCTCTTAATTAAGTGGTTTCTTATTCTATAGTAACATTTAAAAGTTGATGTGTCATCTCTTCCTATCCCACACCACAAGAATTTTCCTATCCCTTCCTGAACTATCGGACTTAGTCAAACAGTTCCATCCAGTCTGACCACAATCGATTCACATGCTTTAACCATTACATTAATAAACAATAATAACCTTTAACCTTTGTTTTATTCAAAGAAAAATAATGGTAAGTTTTTCAAACAATTTTTTAGGTTGATGCATGAGTGTCAAGGCAAGGTTTGGGAAGAAAAGGGCGTGCATCTAATCAGCAAACTCGCTCAGTTACTGGAACGATTGATCGACTATCGTAACGTTGTTTCCATAAGTCATGAAGATAAACGCTTCATGAAAATAAGTTGCATATATAACCTGATGGTAAATATCAGATTCTTCATTATTTATTGAATACACAATTCATGTGACATACCTTAATAGCCCTTTCTTTTTTTGCGCTCTTAATATTCGTGATTTTCGCGATGAAACATTGCACGCCCTTATTGCGAAAAATGAGGGCATGCAAAAATCGCGAAATTCTGAATGGTGTGTCTTCAAAAGCAATGCTAGCCTAGGCCATGCCCAACTATAGCTAATATAAAACTGATATTCCCTTAATAAAGATTTCATGGAAACATTCTTGCTTGTGCAGTATTTTTTAATCATTCTATGCCTAGGCCTACCTTTAGATGGAATAAAAATCATAACATTGTACTTCTTCTCCTATAGTTCCCATATTAGTTGATAATTAACTATTAAATCAGTGTTAGGCCTACATATTCTGCAAGAACATGTAGCTTTGAAAAATCTTGGTCAGGCTCCACACAGGCAAACTGGGCCTAGGTCTAGCTGCCTAAACTATTCTGAAAATCTGGAGGGTAGGAGATTGCTCAAAAAATCAGGGGAAACCTAACAAAATTGGGAGCTCTAGCTATAATATAAGCTAAAAAAACATAATGGTAGGTTTCTGAATCATGTTAAAAATGACTGAAAATGTTAAAATCTCAAAAATAAAGGTCGCGAAATATTAAAAATTTTAAAATTACGAAAATATAGGGCTGCGAAAAAAAAGGGGCTCTACAGTACAGTCATGATGACATCACCTCATGACCTAATAAAGGCGCATACTGCCAAATATAGGCATATCATGACTATATATGGGCATACAACAGTTTTTTGTCAAAGAAAATTTGGTTGTCTGGACAGAGATTTACTCCTTTAACTGAAATTACAAAAAAAGATCCATATTTATAAACTTATTATGTCAAATTTATATATAAATATAATATATATAATTTATTATGCTAAGAAAGGATTTAAAACCAGAGGTCCAATGTACACACCTGGTTTGTAGCACTTTTGAAAGAGTTGGGGGAGGGGGATTTATCCCAATGCTGTAGTTCATTTTAGACCCTGTTGTAAAATTATATGAACATAAATCTACTACGTTATTACAGTCGACACAGACCATACTCGTATGCTATGGATCTATTTTTAAGCATCACCTTTGATATTACTGTTAATGGCCTGAAAAACCATACCTTATATGTACGTGAACATGTGCGTGTCTGCGACAACATGTGTGTTGTAGGATACGCACATATTCCTGACCACGTTGCGATTAATCAGTTGTTAACATGCACATGTGTCAAAATGAAAGTAAATAAAATACACGTACGTTTTTAGAGATGCTTAGAAGCATGCAGAATATCGATTTTGTCTTTGATGATCTATATGTCTAGTACCTGTAACACCATGATGAAAATGATTTAAGATTGTTTTTTGAGCCTCCTCCGAGTAGGCTTGTACCTGTAACACCATGATGAAAATGATTTAAGATTGTTTTTTGAGCCTCCTCCGAGTAGGCTTGTACCTGTAACACCATGATGAAAATGATTTAAGATTGTTTTTTGAGCCTCCTCCGAATAGGCTTTAAAATTTTAGATGGGTAACTAGTTAGACCACGGTATAGCAATGGTCTATAGTCATAGACCATTAGTGACGTCACAATTATAGTTGGTTAATCGTTCAGACCGTCTAAAGACCACTTATGGAAATCCGCGCCTGGGCCTACATTGATAAATAAAGTTGAACTATCACAGTTTTTTTCGCATATAATTTGAAAGTGTGAACGGACCTTAAGTGGTTTTTGTTTATGTTTGAATTTGTCACTAGAATTTCCTGTACCAAGACCGTAGTAAGAGGGACATATGGGCAAGGCATATATACCGGCTCCATGAACTCCATTTAATGAAAGGTGAACACACGGAAGCAGCGTTTACACTGTTAGAACTTGCCAAGACGTACAGTTGGTCAGATACACTGGTCCCGGAAGACTCGTTTGGAAAGTTTCCCCAGCAAAAGGAAAGGGAAAGGAAAGAAATTCTTTACAATAAGATTCTGGATCACCTTGATAAGGGTCAGGTAATAAAATTATATCATTTATTATTATTATTGTTTCTGATTATGATGATTCCATAAATGGTAGAAATAATGGATTGAAATGGCATGTCTTACTTTATTTAGAGTTTGTTTCATACTACTGTAACTTATATAAATTGTCATTGGTTCATACTGATTTTTTATAATCCTGATTGCAATCATTGTCACCATCATCATCATCATCATAACCACCACCACCACCATCATAATCATCATCAGTGTTGTTGTTATCATCATCATCATCATTTACATCATTATCATCCTCATTATTGTCTACATCTTCATCGTCACCATCATTTTCTTCCTCATCATCACTATATTCTTCCTCATCATCACTATATTATATTTATCATTAGCAATATAATTATTCTTATTTTCCTATAAACAACTTAAAAATTGTCAATTTTATTAGGTGCCACTTAAAACAAGTAACATTACATTTAATCTAGCTAGTTTTGAAATTAATGGATAAAATAAACTCCTTAATATTCAGTTTTGTTTTATTAAAACATCGTTTTACTGTAGGTTTGGGAATGTGGAATTCCACTTTGTAAGGAGTTAGCAGACCTCTATGAGAACAAACTTTATAATTACAAGAAACTAAGCTCCATTCTGGTACGTATTAAAGCATATTTTATTTTAATATTATAATGATACTGACACCAGATTATGACAATAAATATGATTATGTATTAGAAGAGAGTAAGGTCCAGGTTACAAAATTGGTTCTGTTGTCCCTGCACTGTAACATTTTGAAATAATAGTTGGTTGAGTGACAATTGAAATTTTTTTAAAATTTGTTATCACTTTTAGGTCTAGGCCTAATTCTAGAGTTCATTGCCAACCATAATTCACCCCACATTGGTTGGTAAAATAAAGCCAAATTCAAGGTTAAGAAATAACGAGTAATATTTAATCATACAAGTATTTTTGGACTATGTGGTGAAAGATATTTTTGCCGAAAAAAGCCAACTTTACAATTGTTTTTGGCCTTATAATGATTATTCATAATGATTTGACCAAACCCAGCAGTGAATGCTTTGATTTTTGTGAACTTGACAGATTTGTTTATTTTATTTACAGAAAACACAAGCAGATTTCTTTACCAAAATACTTGATGTTAAGCGTCTTCCCCAAATATACTTCTTGGTGGAATTTTTTGGTCGAAGCTTTCCAGCTATTAAGAGGGTAAGGTTATTGATGTCATAGCAATTAGCTCTTTCCACAATATCTTTGGTCTAATGGTTATGACACTTGCCTTGACAGCGAGAGGTCGCAGGTTCGAATCCCGCCAGTGGCATTTTATTACACAATTTCTTTATTCGTTTTATTATAGGACAACATTCGTTGAGAGCTGTGCAACATGATGTATGAT